GGTCCTTCTCCACAAGTTCTCTCTGGCTCTTCTCATAAGCCAACTGTTTTTTTGTTTGTTCCATTTCCTTGCTAAGACCGTTCCAGAAGGCTTTCTCCCGGAGATGTTCGATTCTTGCGTTGTGAAGGCAATCATCCAGCTCCTTTTCATTTTGTCTCTCATTGTAAAGCTCTGTTCTCAGGTACTGTATGTGTTCCTCCAGTTCCTGTGAATTACTCTGCTCTCTTTGGCACCTCTTCTTTAAATACTGGACTTGATCGTCCAGCTCATTTGCCGTTATCCTTTCTCTGATGAAGCTATTGTCCAGAGATCTGACTTTTTCTTCCAGCTCCAGTGCGTTGGTCCTCACTGTCTGGAGCTGCTCGGTCAGTATCTCAACTTGTTTTTCCAGCTCACATGCTCCAGTCCTCTGTTTGTCAATCTCATTCCGCAAAAGTTGGTTTTCTGCATCCAACTCCTGAGCATTGACCCTCATGTTGTGGAGCTGTTCGTTCAGAAGCTGGACTTGTTTGTCCTGCTCCTGAGCTTTGGTCCTCTCATCGTGGAGCTGGTTGTTTAGAAGCTGAACTTTCTCGTCCAGCTCCTGATTCCTGGTTCTTTCTCTGAGGAGCTCGTTTGTCAAATATTCCGTTATCTCCTTTGACTGCTTGACTAGCAGCTGAGCGTTCGGCGCCTTCACCTGTGTGCTGAAGATTTCTTCGCCAAAGCTGGTGAACATGTTCCAAATGGAGGTATTCATAATGATCAACTTATGCTGTGTTCCTCGCTAACAATGTTCTCACAGTAATAAGTCGACTGTTGCAAAGTTAGTAATGACTTTGTTGTAGTTCTAGGCTAGTGTACTGAGAATGTCTCAACATGTGCAAGTACAGTGATCAAGATGTGGATATAAGCACTTTGATGACATCATTGATGACATCACAACATGGCTATGATGACTGAGCTGTGACGTCATCACAACATGGCTTTGATGACTGAGCTGTGACGTCATCACAACATGGCTGCTGTCTGAGCTGTGACATCATCACAACATGGCTGCTGTCTGAGCTGTGACAGTTCTCCTGATGTTTACATTCAAATTATTGGTACATAGCACATTCTTGCTGGTCTCAGTGAAAAGCAGTCAGGCCAGGGGGAGCTAGTCTGCAGCTAGCCACGAAGCTCATAGTAAAACCACAAAGCAACGATATGTAAAGGCTAATGTTTTCAATTTCATAAAAATATAGCACAGTAGCTCTCTGTTCATACAAACCCGACAGCCAGCAGTCTGGCAACCAGCTATTAAGGTAAATTAAGCTAACGTCCACTCGCTGTTTTAGTTAGCATCGTTTAGCAAACAAACAAAAACAACAAACAAACTGAGTTGTGCAGTAAAGTGAGATGAAACAAAGGTAATTGTTTTTCAGTGATTTATTAAAAAATATACAAATATTTTTAAGTTAGATGCAGGAGAGAAAGTAAGAGAGACGAGAAAGTTGAGTTGGGAATTGTCCAGTTGAACATTGTAACTCCAATTGGCCATACTAATTACTACACTGTAATCTGTGGGTGTGTTTGCATTGTTCTATGATGCATTTGTTATAATTATTTTTCATAGATAAATTATAGCCATAGACTGCACATCAAATGTCTGAGTAATAAACATCGAAACAATCTGGGTAAATGCAAGCTACACCTGTAGAATACACTTCCAACGAATGAGCGGGACAGTGGAATGTATCAGTCTGTCACATGATAACTTGTGTCTGCAGCAGCTGAAAGTGTCCTGGAAAAGTCCTGGGAAGTTATTTCAGCGAAAGAGTGGGAACCCTGAATATCAGTTTTAGCCGTATTCACATGTGGAATTGAAAACTACTGCTTGGGTAGATGGTGACCTCCCTTGACCCTGCAAAGAGCTTTTCATAGAAATTAATGGATGGCTGAGTTTATCACAGAAGGAGAAAAGAAAACAAGTTGAATGAAATGACCTTATGCGATGAAAGTCAGAGTAGACCGGGAGAAAAGAGATAGAGGGGCTTAAGAAGAAGTAATGGGATTGAGATGGAGAGAGGAGGGCTCAGATGTGCAGCTACAGGCAGCACCAACCATGAATAATGGAAGCGCTACAGTCAGCGTATGTGTGTGTACAATGAGTAAATTGGCTCGGTAAATGCATAGTGTTTACGAATCCCCCAGGTGTTTAGTGGGGACATGTTTTCATGTATGTCTGGCTTGTGTACATTGAGCTCAATTGTTTGTGCGTTCGAGTGATTGTGTACCGCCGGCGAGGCATGAAGCCGCAATCGGCTGCTCGTATACACCACAATCTGTGTGTGATGGAAAACGTGTGGACGCTGTGTGTGCATGTATGATATGATTTGTTTGTGTATGCATGGCACATCCATCACTGTGCGTCTGCGTGAACTCGGTGTGTATTGAATCGTAACCTCTCACATCGCAGCAGAGCCGTTGCATTACTCACACTCCCTTTCACGCCTCCTGTCCATCGCCGTCTTTCCCTTCCCTCCTCTTCCTCCTGCAGACTTTTACAAACTTTTCTTTTTCACTCTTCTCCCCAACTCTCCATCACGTCTCCATCCTCTTGCTTCCGTCTTTGTTGTGTCGTCTTAATTGATAATCCACAAACCTTATTGTTGCCACATTTGTCAAGGCAGTATTATCATCACACCACTAAACTGATATTACTGTTTCAGTCAATCACAGCTTGTCTTAAACACATATACTCCAGCTGGAGGTCATTATTTGTCTCAGAAGTCTTTGTCATGGTGGCCCATTGCGAGCTAACCTTTACAATTTCAATCTGACATCAAAAGGCATTGATTTACTTCCAAAAGCAAAAGTATGAGACAGGTTTGCTCAGTATGGGACGAGTTATCCTTCATGTCAAAGATGGTAATTCTTGATATTGCATCGATCATGTATTATGAGCTTCCAAAATCTGTTAGAGACTTTAACAAAGTCTTTAACTTTAACACAGCTCTTGTTTTAATCAGAAAATGTGGTGTCTACTTGTTTTCATTCAGCGTCAGTAATACAGGTGAGATGTCCTTGTTTTCTTAAAAAAATAATAATAATAACTGTTTTGAACGTGCAGAAATCTTGCCCAAACACATTTGAGCTATTAAATTCCAGAAAAAGGTGCCACATGCACGTTTAGAAAAAGATTACTTCCCCAAACAAAAGACACAAAGGAGAACAGAAGAGTAAATTAGGCCTCGTTTGTGTGTCGACGCAGCAGGGATGATATTAAATGAGAAAAGTTGATCTACAGGAGAATAAATATTTGAAAGCAATACAGAACGCCGGAGAGACTGACTGCATTATCATCTATTCTATTCTGAATAGTGAGTTGGTGCCTGAATTTTGTTTTCCTTTACATAAATAAAGAGGCTTCCGGCATAAATTGATGCAGAAAATGGCCAGCAGCAGCCCTGCAGATAAACGCCGCGTTTCATCTATTCCTTTAGTATTTGAAAAGCTTCCAAAAAATAAAAGCTTTATTGTCATGTTTAGTACAGCCTCATGTGTTCAAAATGTGGAATAATCCGTAGTTTTTTGGTCAAGAGAAGGTTTATCAATTTATTTTTGTTAAATATAAAGCGGAACCAAGCATTACAGTGTATTGATGGTTGACAGATGACTGGAAATAGTTAAAGATAAATTTAAAAAAGCTGTAAACTATGAAATATAGCAGATCTCGTCTCTTTTCTCCCTCGCCCTTCCCTCTAGTCGTCCTCTAAACGCACTGGCATGCCGTCGTCGGTGTTTTTCCCTCTTTTGTTTCACATCTGACCAAGCAATATTTTAATTTCTTTCCCGACGCCGTTGCTCAAGCTGATGCTGGAAATAGCAGATCCAGCCAGTTTCATCCGCTGTTGCCGTGACAGCTCACCGATGAAAAACAATTCCACCTCTCTTCCTCTACCCTCCATCACTCTCACGCACTCCTCCCTCCGTCCTCTTCCTCTTCCATCTCTCGTCTGTTTTTCTCTGTTGAGCCGGAGACTATTTGCGGCATCAGAGTCCACGTGGCTGACAGTGAGGCATACGATGACACGGCCAGGTGGAAATGAACACTCTCTCTTCCTCTCTGCCTGTCAGAGACCGACGGATCGTTGAGATGAAGATTATAGACTCTGAGCAAAGCGGGCCAGACGGAGACCAAATGTGATAAAACTTCCCTGGAAGTACTAAAAGCTGATTTACATGTCGTGCACGTTTTGGTTACCTAGACATTGCTGGTTACTCAGACAATCACAATTGAAGCTTGCATATCTGTAGGCCGAGTAAAACTACTTCCTGTGAACTGTAAAAGTAGTTCTGCGGAGATATACAGTGCAATCTCATGTTTCCACTACTTTTATGAAGCTCGATTGCACCATCTAATGTTAAAAAGCTTTGATTATATGGTTTCTTGCCGCCATGATGCCACAGTGGAGACTCATTAGCATACTCCTATGTTTTCCCGTTAATAATCAATATTAAATTGGAGTTCAAAATGGGCGCGTAAACAGTTTAAGCTACTTCACTTGGACGACTCGTCTTTTAAATGTTCAGCATAGAGAGTTTAGCATCTGACCTCAGAATATATTTGCGCAGAAGATGCCGAGGAGTGATGAGTAAATGTCATCCCGCTAGTCAGAAACATGCAGCGATACTGTGCTGCTGAGCGGTGATGGAGCAGAGGGAGAAATAGCAAATTTGCATCTAAGATGAGCCGCCAAGATTTGGGGGGAACAAGAAGTTCAGTGACTGCAATAAAAAGCAAAAAGCCGTATCTCATTTAGATTTTGTCTGCACGTTGCTCCCGGTGCTACGTTTGGAACTTTCTCCGGAAGTCGTGAGCGAAAGCGAAATTTCACTATGTAGCTCTAACTTCAAGAATCTGTGTCACTCAACCTTCATGTTAGCAAACAGCATGACAACATGTGGATTTTGGATGCATTCCCACAACGTAGGCACTGTTTGCTTTGAAATATTCACAATATTGCAAACGTTTCATGTGGAAGGAAATAGATTCAGTACGCTTGTTAGACCCCAGGTACGTATGATGTACTTTAATGCGTATAAAGGCAACTTTTACAATGAATTCCACGAGGTAGCTTTAATACAAGAGGAATTATAGGTCTGCGGGTGGAGGCAAATTCAGTTTTCTTCAGTGCTCACCTGGTTACAAGCAAAGCATGCACTTCCTGCACTGGTGCATCGAACACAAACTGATTTACAAAGCTGCTCATATGCAGATTAGCAAATGGCATTGTCTCTGGTGTTTTGCTCTATTTGTTCATGCAAACATTGAAATTATAGTTTCAAATAAGCAATGTTCTGTTTCTAGACCCACCGAGGGACGTGTTAGGAAGCACATCCCATCGTATTTTTAGCCATTGTGCGCATTGCTATTTTTAAACCTCCCTGCACAATTTCTTTTTTTTTTTTTTTTTTACCATTTACTTGTTAAAGTTTGATTGCTGCACCTCAAAACTCTTGGCGCTGCAGTTTAGGACTCTCCACCGGCTGCTCCTGATTGAAGCGGTGGATGTGCTGCAGGTTGCATCACTGTCAGCTGGAGAGCAGTTTTATCAGAGCCTGGGGGGAAGTTAGCAGCTGAGGGACGCCAACCTGGGCTTCACTTCATCCTCTGAAGGAGGAGAAATCAGAGGAGGGCAAACTGGGTTTTGTTTCTTGATGCATCCTAAATGTCCTGTTTTCGGTTGGAGCTCCTGAGAGTTTTAATGCACCGCTCCCGGCACGTTGGCTTTCTTCTGAGAGGGAACATGAAACTGAAATAGTAATTATGTGTGATGCACTCACTCAGCCTCCTCTTTTTCCTCAACAGGAAGATAATCGAGGTGAAAATCATCGACGACGAAGAGTACGAGAAGAACAAGACGTTCACCATCGAGCTGGGGGAGCCTGTGCTGCTGGAGATAGGACAGAAACACGGTGGGTTCACCTGCATATGTGTTCAAAGAGAAAAATCCAGAAAGACTGACGGACAGAATGAAGTCTTTATTTAGGCCACATCTGTCGCTTAGAAACGGGCCGAGACCTGCATTGATTACCTAAAGCCTCCAATCTAAACTCAGATTAACTGAGGAAACATTTCACTTTGAACCTCTGAGGACGCGCCTCGGAAAGGATTTCAAAAACACCTGCCCCGAGCTGTGAGGTGTTTTTTGAAACAACGGCGTCCTTGTCACGGGCAGGGCGGGAATAATAACTTCAACAGTTTTAGGCTCCACTTTATCACCACAAACACAAAGAGGTTCAGTGTAAACAGCCGGAGAGCTTCTCTATTTGTTGCTTTCCAGCTCCTCCGTCCTGTCATCTCCAAATCCACACAGGGCGAAATCAAGAATCTAAAACGTTTAATTCGAGAGTTTAAACCCTAAAAAGCTCATTACAGCAGACAGACAGCTAATCTGTGGCAGGTGACCGGAGGCTAAAGAGAGCCGACGCTGAAAGTCAATAAGTAATTTCTGCGGCTCGGCCTCGTCTGCTAAAATAAAATCCGCTCCGTTAAAACTTTACAAGAAGAGACCTGCTTTCATCTTTTTCTTTACTTTTATTTGTCTCATTTCACTTTGTTCCACTCCGGTCTGTATTCAATAACGACAGCGCCGTGTAATTGCAAAACAGTAAAGATTCCTGTTGATCGGTCAGTCAGTTAAATGATTCGGCACCACATGCGCTCTCTTCAGCCTCGCTAATGGCGCGGCTCCGGGGTCCAGTCTGTCCGATCGATCGCCGTGAAATCTGATACAGAAGCTCCCTCGGTATTGACTGTAACATCATCTCACACCATCATCAGGGCAGATTTTCAGTTTTATAGAAAAACATCACGTTAGACGCCTAATTTTGAGCACATTAGCAACTTCACGGCTAATGGTGCTGTTGTTGTTTTCTAATGTGTCCAGTTCGCATCCCTGCTTCTCAGTTCAGCTGCATTTAAAGTGTTTATTGCAGTGAGGTGTCCCACATGACCTGACCTTTCTAACAAAGCTAGTTAGAGTCAAAGCAGAGTTTATTGTCAATATCTCTGCATGTACCGTACAAACAGAGGAACTGAAATTCCCAGAGTACAAAAAAGAATATAATACAAAATATAAATACGATGCAAAAAGTACCGCTGTGAAAAACTATCTGTCATATTTGTGTCGTGTCTGTGTGACGAATTACAGCTTCACACCGATTATTCTTGTTTGAATTGCTCATACACGCATCATTGCATAGATATGTTAATATTTACATACATTAGCAGCAATGCAATCATCCATCCATTATCTATACACCACTCAATCCTCACTAGGGTCGTGGGGGGCTGGAGTCTATCCCAGCTGACTCAGGGTGAAGGCAGGAGACACCCTGGACAGGTCACCAGTCTATCACAGGGCTACACTTAGAGACAGACAACCAAGCACACTCACATTCACACCTACAGACAATTTAGAATCACCAATTAACCTCAACATGTTTTTGGACTGTGGGAGGAAGCTGGAGAACCCAGAGAGAACCCAAACTGCCCGGGGAGAACATGCAAACTCCACGCAGAAAGATCCCGGGTGTCCTCACCGGCGACCTTCTAGCTGTGAGGCAACAATGCTAACCACTGACCCACCTTGCAGCCCTCGCAATGCGATCATCCTCATTCTATTAACATATCTACTCAATGATTTGTTAATAACAAGAAAGAAAGAGCAGAACTGGAGCTTCACAGTTCTGCCTGTTGCACATTTGTTCATATCAAAGTAATAACCTCTGCAAAGTTTTATCTTTACTTATTTCTAGTTGTTTCTTTCTGCACAAAAGAGTTATCCGGTTATGAAATGATGTCTGCTATTTTCCCAGCACGGGAGATTAGATTCTACTTTGTATGAAAAATAAATACAAAATAATTGATTTGCTTTTCATTACAAAAGTTGCACTTTAAAAACCCCTGCAAAAGTTTGTCTGGTTTCCCACCAAGTAGGCTGCTGTATGTGAGCACGTCAGTAAATATAATAATGGAGTTCATTTCCATTAGGCACTAAACACAAACCTTTCCCAGTTTCTAAGTCATGCAAATACAATTCTATCATCTAATGTTATAAAGATTATTATTACTATTAATATTATCAAAGTGCTGGAGAAAGACTTTAAGACCTTTAAGAACCATTAGGAGCAGTTAAAAGCCACTGAAACGTGCACGTCTTGAGGTTTTTCTCAAAAATATCAAATGAAGAAGAACATTGCTTTGGAGCTTGATCTCCTCAATCCACCATCATGGTTCTGATATTTGCAGATTCCCGACAATCTCCTCTACATTAATATGAAAAGACGTCCCTACTGATATACATGTAAAAACTCAACAATTTCATAACGTTTGTTCTTTAAGATAACAGCTAATATAGAGGATCTGGAAGTGTTGTCATACCAGATCATGGAAGATCTGAACAGCCTGGACTGTTCTGGAACAAAATAAGATATCGAATGAATGATTTGCTCGTACAATGACCAAGACATATGGAAGAACTTTGAAAATAGCCGAGGGCTCAGAGGGTTAACAGTTTAAGCCACGTCCCATCCTGACAGGTTTCCCTCATCAGGCTCCTGCAGCCGTCGTGTCTCGTGGAGCCACATTAGTGGGACCACAGTCGGGGATTGAAGCCTCTTTTATCGCTCTGAACGCCCACAGAGACGCCCCTGGTGGACTCCAGGTCCACGGTGTAGATGTCAGACATGAAGAGCCAACAGCCCGAGGCATGTTTCATTACAGAGGAATGTAATTGGCTTTATAAAGCCGTCACAGAGCAAGCACACTGACAGTCACACACACATATATACATATATATCTATACTGTACACGGCTTTTCAATTACAGCAGCTCGACTCTGATCACAGCGCAGTTAATGACTGTATGAAGAGGATCATGCGGATGAATGAGGGGATGTGTGGTGCAACATGCGGTAATGGGAACATAGAGGGGTCAGAGGAAATATGAATTCCTTGTGGGGATTCGTATTTGTAATAACAGCGATGCTTGACAGCTTGGATTTCCCGTGTGGCACATCAGTGGTTTGAATATTAGCATTTACATTTTATTTTTCATTCAAATGAGACGTCAGTAATATTTCATGCTGCTGTGGCCAAATTAGAACTAATGAAAAAATGGAATGATACATATATGAAGAGTGGACGGATCTATACGGAGATATTAACATAAGGACAGAGTTTTAATTAGTTTATTACACTGCAGCAAAAAAAAAAAAAAGAACAGTGAATGTCTGCAGGACGGTGAGAGAAAACACATGTTAAAGAATGATGGAATAACATAAGATTTGAAAACTGGTAAGAATGGTGAAAAAATAACAGCAAATATCTGTAAAATTAGGATATTTGAAGTGGTTTTAAATTCAGGAAAACAGAAATCTATTTTTTATGTGACATTATGTGCAGTTCTGGACTTTTTTTTCTGTCAGAATATAAATTAATATTAATTATAATTAAAATTATAATTTAAGCAAACAGTGAAAATCTGTAAAATATTAGTTTAAAAATATTTACTATTTTTCAGTCCTAAATATACAGAATCTTTATTTTTAAATAATAACAAATATCTGTAAGATAATATTATTTGCTGATTTTATTACAGTAAATAAAAATGTAACTTTACAGTCAAACGTTAAAAAAGACTAAACTAATATGTGGACATTATTTACATTGCATTAATTTATCAGATTCCCTTTTTTTCAGGGTTATATTTAAATTAATACTTTTTTCTATGATTTTATGATGTATTGTCTGTAATTTAACAAAACAAGGAAAACAGTAAAATAGCAACAAATTGTTCAAAAATTACAGTAAGAACAGTTAAAAAACTTTTATTTAGATTAAAAAAAGAAAAATTTTATCGCTGTATTTTGCAAAAAATCGCAGCAAAAACAAATTTTGAATGCTAACCTTAAAAAAGTTGAAAGTTTTACTGTATTTAAATCAGCTAAAAAAACATTACTTTGATTAAACTTGTTACTTTCACAGTTGTTACAGTTTATGAACTTTACAGCATTCACCATTTTTGATTTTTTTTGCATGTTTTGCCAGATTTTTAAAATTTTTTAATGTTTATTTTCATCACAATGAGGATATATAGAATACATCAAATGAATAAATGAAATAGTATGCAGCTATTTGTTTGTAATCTTGTTAGAATTCTTCAGAAATACGTCAATCACAGCTGATCATCATGTGACCAGTCTGTGCCGTGAATTAAGTAAGGGATAATGCCCGACGAGGTGTCCATTATCAGAAATTAATGGACGACGCGGAGGCGTGAACCGTCCGACGCGAAGCGGAGGACGGTTGCTTCCGCGAAGTCCATTAATTTCTGATAATGGGCACCTCGAAGGGCATTATCCCGCTTATACCATGGTCACTTACGAAAGATATTACTAAATAAATATTAAATCAATTATTAATACGTTAATGTTGTTTTTTACCGTTAAAATCGTAAGTTTTCCACAACAAGCGGCTGAGCGGACTATTTCATGTCTCTCGTTGTGACGCGTTGCCAAGGTAACCGGTCGGCCGCAGCTGTTATATTAGGCCTAAGTGGAGGGAAGTGAGATGATTGCTTAACGTGAGGGCAAGTGCACCTCTTACCGCTTGTGTGTGTCCAGAGGATGATGCGAAATATAAATATACGGTTACCAACTACCGTTTGAGTCAGCGCATTAATTTAGAACTATCAGGTTATTTGACCGGAACTTCTTTATAGGTGTCCTATATCACTTTTTAATGGACACCCTGCAGCCAATCAGAATCGAGTATTCACCCAGACCATGGTATAAACAGACATAAGAAAGACAAAACAAAGATGAATTCAGGTCTTTATTGTATATTTTTACATGAACTGCGACCTGGTCAAAACGTGCTCTTAGCGTATTTTTTTTAAAGGAACCTGAGATCAGTACGAACTTCAAAACTCAGGTCGGATGAGGTGAAGCAGACGAGCGGAGGCTCTGCAGGGATTTGTCATCTGAAATTTAGAGGTTATTCAACATGATCTGCTGCATTAGTGAACATGGAGGCGTAGCTCTGAGTGGCTGCTGATAAATTTTTGACAACGGTGGGAGACGGTTTCCGATGGTGGCAAACGCTTCTCTTACTTCCATCAAACCTTTGACCCGCGACTGCAGCCGGAGTTACACGTCATTACATGAACATGAAACTGGGGAGGACAAAAACCGACCGAGTGTGAATATGTAATCCATGCAGGGATAAAATATTGAACACATTTTAAACATTCATACATTTTGGTAATGAAAAAAGGCCTTAATTAAAATAATGTTTCAATTTTATCCCTTTTTTTTTTTTACGACTTTTATGTGGACTGTTGCTCCAGTTCTTCATTTATTTTTTTATTGATGTGTGTCTAATATATGGATTGATCAGCTGCCATCTGCAAACCAGCTAGAACCAAACTATTCCACTGAACTCTGTGCTGGCCTTCCGTTAAATACAGGTTCCTACCTACCGTAGTTACTCACATAAATAAAGAAATGTAGACATACATAGGGAAAAAATATCTATAATGTAAATAAAGTAATACATATAATGTAGAGATGTAGGAGCACAAAAAGCCTAAATCAAAGTAGATTTATGTCGAGAAAATCCAAGACATTCATGTAATTGTGCTTTTTGTTATGACCATAATGTGTCTGCTGCTTATTTGTGCATTTACTTTTAACCTTAAAGAGCCTATATTATGCTTTTTGTTTTTTCTCTCCTTTAGGGTGTTAAATTAGATGTTTTTTGTGCATTTAAACTCGCAAAGTCCACAATCCATGACAAAGGGAGTTATTCTGTCCGTAGTCCTTACCCGCCTAAAAACACGAAGTCCAGACTTTTTTCTGTTACCTAGTGACCTCATCATGTAACACATTTGTATAACACCTGCCTTGTGGCTAGTTGCCATTATTTCTTCGCTAAAACTGCTTCAGCTAAAGCTGCGTCATTATAGTACGTTAACCAATTTTGCCTTTTCTTTCGTCGGACCAACCAACCAATCAGAGCAGACTAGACTTTTGGGAGGCGGGAGCTAAAACTGAGCGTTTTAGACAGAAGGTGCTGCAATGATGTACATTACAAGAAAAATAATGTGCTTTTTTCAACATTAAAGCATGTAAACATATTCTAGTGAAGCCCAAAAATGAAAATGATCAACTTGAAAATGTGCAAAATGTGGAGTCTTTAAGTTTTTTGTCATTCTTCACATGAAACTCATATCGGGGCATTTTTGGATGAGGGGTTCCTGATTCTTTTTTCTGTGTTTTTACAAAAAATTACAAACTAATGCAAAAATGAGAGCGAAGATTCATGCATTCTGTACTGAATTTCCACCAAAACAGAAAAGTATGAATTAATACTGAGGACATAACCTTCCACACTGACAATGCTTGCTACTGTTCAAGTTTCTATGTTTGAACCGGTCCATCTCTGTGGTTTCCCAGGCGACTCCAATGAGAACAAGCCATTGGTGGGAGCAGAGGAGGAAGAAGTGGCCAAGATGGGATGTCCCAGTCTGGGCGAGCACACACAGCTGGAGGTGATCATAGAAGAGTCCTACGAGTTCAAGGTAGGAGTCTGTTTCCGTTGTGAACGTTTCTCTCGCCTTCTGTCAGTTATATCTTAAGTGGTTTTTTCCCGTCGCTGTCACGTCAGCAGCTTGAAATATCACCTAAAAAGTTAATTCTTTTAAGATTAAATCCTAAAGCAAACAAGGTCCAAAATGATTTAAAGTGAGTGTCAGCTGCCTGGGCGCAGAGGATGAATTATTCATCTTGTTAGCATGTAATGGACGCATGTAGCGTAATGGGCTCTCTGCTGAGACGCTTGTCGTTTTAATAGCAGACCTCCGAAGGACAAGAAATCATTAATTCAAAGTGAGCTGTCAACTTACGTCAGAACAAAATGGGCCTTGAAAGAAAGAAGGAAAGAAATAAAGAAAGTTGCAGGTACAGTGTGGAAGAATTTATAGTTTTTAAATCTAACTTCTTGAACAATTTACTGATATTTGACAAACTTCCTGTGTTGTTAAATTACAATTAATATCTAGTAAAGTTACAGGAAAAAAGCATTAATGTACATGTTAATCATAAAGAAGAAAACCAGAGCAAAGCTGTCAATAAAGTCCACATCGAACATCTGTGTTTTTATAAATGGTCATTTGTTCTTTTACAGCGTTTGACCATAAAACTGCACAGTCTGACTGTATTTAAATCTGAGGAAATATTGTTGTTTTACTAATTTTCACTGTGATTTGAAGGAACATTTGTGTACATTCAGGACTGACAAATGATAAATGATTTTGTAAACTGTTATTGTGTCAAATTTTCCAGTTTTGTTTAAAGAAAAAAGCCACAGGAAAAATAAATACATGTTGATAGTAGAGGAAAAAAAAGTGTAACAGATCAAAACTGCAAATAATGTTCACATCTACAAGCTTTATTTTATTAAATGGTCTAAAACTTACCCAATTTTACTGTTTGTAAATCAGCAACAATATTGTGATTTTACAAATATTTGCTTTTCTATACAATAAAATAAAAAATAAAATAATAATAATATTAATAAATAATAAAATTAAAAAAGTTCTGTATATTAAGCATACATTTTTAGTTAGTTTAATTTTTTTTTTTTTGCCTATTTTCCCTGTTTTTATTAGTTACTTATATATCTAGTAAAATCACAGAAAATATTAATTTACATGTTGACTATAATAATAACAGGCCAAACTGTAACGAATGTCCCCATGAAAAATCTTTATTTTCAAAACCATTTGTCATTTGTTCTTTTACAGTGTAATCAGTTAAAATGTAATTATTTTATAGGGTATTTTTGCCATTTTTACTGTTTTTGAACATTACATTTAAACCGTATTTTTTCCGGCCGTCTTGCTGCCTTATTTTCACATATTTTTTTTATTTTTATAATTCATCCATCAAATTAGAAAATACATCAGCTAGGTCATTTAATAAAAATTTCACAGCTGGAGAAGTGCTTCTGTAAGTTTGATCCGTTCATAATGCAGATATGATGACTCCAACACTTTGCTTGTGTGCGGCACAAAAAACCCTCAATTCATCAGCCTCCTGTTCAGCTTTCATGACTTCATACAGTCGTTGTGTTTGTTCATTTTGTTCATATCTGTGATCACGTGTCCATTTGTCTACACATCTCATTTGCTCATTTGCTTGTGTCGTTGTGTATGTGTGTGTGTGTGTGCGTGTGTGCAGAAAGCAGTAAACACGCTTATATGGCACGCTGACGAGGTTAGCCGTCCGTCTCTGCATGCTCTGTCTGACGCTGTGAGTTCTCAAACTGCTAAACTTTTCCTTTAACGTAGTCGCTGGTGAAGGATTCACCTGGAGTCACCGTAACGACTGCTGCTTGCTCTTCCTCGCTGCTTTGAACAGCAAACCCAACCGCCTCGGGGTTTTTCCTACATGTCAACAGAAGCATCACAGCCAGTTTCTCTGCATAGTGTTAATTACCACTTCCTATACCTCGACTTCTCACTTTCTAACTGTACCTCTGCAGCCTGGGTTTTAATTGAAAGGCTTGAAAATCAGCATTTTTTTCCTCTTTCTGTGCCCCTGCGAGTGAATTAACAGCTTGAGGGTTGTGTCTCTTCCTCTTCTGCCTGGTCTGTATGCGCTCCCATGTTTGCTTCTTGTGTGTGTGTGTGTGTAGAGTACGGTAGATAAGTTGATCAAGAAGACGAACCTGGCCTTGGTGGTGGGAAGCAGCAGCTGGAGGGAGCAGTTTGTCAGCGCCGTGACTGTCAGCGCAGGTAAAACACAAACACGAGGCGCCGCTTGATTTATGAACGCCGTTTTTTTTTTTTTTTTGCCCGACGTGTTTCCTGACTTCAATTTGAACAGATGATGGATGATGAGACGGAACATTTCTCGTGCATCAGCGCCTTCTCCAGACCCTTCTCATACATTCATTTGAATCTGGTTACAGTCTCCTTGTTGCGGCTCGGAGCGATAACTTTTGTACTTTCCTGACATTTCAGTGTGCGGAAGTAACCTTTTAGTGGTTGAAAAAGAAAGCTGTCCTGAAAATAGCTTAATGAATATATCATGGATTCAGGCAGGTCGGGCTGAAAAAATCGAGAAAGCAAGTTCCTACTGAGTTCTAAAAAACTTCCAGAACCACAGTGTCGACATGTTTGGATGCACATCTGGATCATGGCAGCAAAATGTGTTGGATAGTAAACCTGTATTCATGTATGTTAATAAGGTTTTAAATCAAAACTGCACCAGAGGAAGTAGAGTCAGCCACAGTTATTGATGTTTCCTAAAACTAGCTAACCCTTTCAACACGATGGCCCACTATACTGGTCTCCGGTATAGCAGCTCCGGTAAAGGACGACTTCCTGTTACATTCATTTTGATTTGATTACGCTGCAACTTGGGCTGATACGTTGTTTTCGAGGGTACGTAGCTGGAAAATGTTTACCAACAAGCGCAGATGGAGTTTCTCTATGGTCATCTTCGCTGCTAACGCTGCTATTCGCTAGCGTATTCGCCGCTAACTGTTAGCAGCATTCGCTAATGGTCGACAGCGACACCCACCCCAATCAAGGAATCCCGGCGTGGACTCTGGCATATATTCCTAGTAATTAAAGCCAAAGTTACTTAGTGTTGAAAGGGTTAATGTGATGGAGGCTGAAACCACCTTTTACCACGACATGACTTAATGGATGCTTCCATAATTAAAATGGGAGAAAAATCTGTGTAATTTGCAGACGTTCCCTAAAAGTTGATATGTATAAATAGACACTCTTAAACATTCCAGCTTCTCTTTTCTCTCTGTCTTGTTTCTTACTTGTATGCATCTTACGCCCTAGCATACAAAAAGTCTGCATTGCCGAGCTTCAAAGTCGTTTTTTATCATAGATGTTTGGTGTAGCCTGTAGCTCGAGACCAGACCAGGTGCGACCGCGGAGGTTAACTTGCTCTCAGCTCTCAGCACGTTTCAAGGTCATTTAACTTTAAGTGCTTGAAGGGTGTTGTGAGAAACAGCAGAGGAAAAACCTGCTTGAATAAACTCAGTCTGCTGCATGAAAGTGTGCAGTGTATGTACTCATTACTCTTTTAGATCAAAACAGCAATGAAAAGAGAGTTGTAGTTGGGACAGATGGGGTGAAATGGAATGTCCAGTCAGAGTCTAATTCAAATGGTTGATTAATGCATATTTTTGTGGGTTGGGTGATGCAGATTTGCTCTCATAAGAGGTTGGGTGGGTGCAGGTATTAACAACTCTGACCTGAGTATCACTAATGGACGGAGAATATGTTATCATTTTTATCAGTCCTATAACATTTTCCCCATAGACTGTAAATAAAAGATGGACACAGTAAACATGACTTCACCCACTGGTTTGAGGACTTCTGTTTTGAATCCTTCTGTTTGGAATTTGGCCACCGTTGGTCATTTGAAACCAGACATAGCAAGCAGGTATATAATGGAACATTTAGCATGCTGAATCTGCAGCAACTTGTCAATCACTCAGTTTCCCCGTCCTAAAACATATCCTGCTGTATGATCTACTTTACTCTAAATGGGGCCATGATTTACAAAATTAAAATCATGCTTTCTTCAAAAAGTCTTCATTGAGACCATAAACTCCTTACTGAAGTAACAGATCTATTGAGAGTAGAGTCATTTTCTCATAGACTTCTATACAATCTGTCTAAATAGCTTAAAAAAACAAACATCTTGACAATTTAAGAAATAGCTTATTTGCATTGTATCACTGTCTTATCTGTATATGAAATATAGAGCTAACCCCAGCAGCCAATCAGCATGACTTAGCGTAATATGCTCGAAAACGTTGGAACAGCTAGCCTGGCTGTGTCCAAAAATATTTTTCAAACTTCTAAACCTTACAGACTAATATTTTATCTGTTTTTACTCAAAAACTAAATTTGACAGCAACAGTTTGTGGGAGTTGTGCAGGGAGTTACTTGCTGTGATGCTAGCTAGCTTTTGTGATTAGTGGAGAACACCAACGATGACCACTGTCTGCCAAGAAAATGTGTATAAATGCTCGCAAAACCATATAAAACCGCAATTTTCAGTTTTAAAATGAATGTTTTTGTGCAAAATATGACAATTTTGTGAGATTTAGAAGTGCTGGTAGGTTGAGGCCAAGGTAGCTGCATCCACTGCTACCAGCTTATATGCTAAGCTAAGCTAATTATGACCCAGTGCTACACTTTGCAGACATAAGTACTTTGTTCTTTTATCTTCTTTTAGCTTTCCATGTTATTTTTTTATGACAAAGTCTTGTTCAAGTTCAAATGTTGCAGTTAAAGTTCATCTTCACCTGCCAGTTTTTACATTTTTGCTCTTTGCCTCACTTTCCGTCTCCCGCCACCCCCGAAGGAGACGACGACGAGGAGGAGAGCGGCGAGGAGCGCCTGCCGTCCTGCTTCGACTACATCATGCACTTCCTCACCGTCTTCTGGAAGGTCCTGTTCGCCTTCGTGCCGCCCACCGAGTACTGGAACGGCTGGGCCTGCTTCATCGTCTCCATATCGCTCATCGGCGTGCTGACAGCGGTCACCGGAGACCTGGCGTCGCACTTCGGCTGCACGATAGGACTGAAGGACTCGGTGACGGCGGTGGTGTTCGTGGCGCTCGGGACGTCGGTGCCAGGTGAGCCGTTTGATGTGAACAAATGCATTATTCTGATTTAAACAAATGACAAGGGAAAAAAGGGTGCTCCAGATAACTCCTCAGCATCAAAAGTCATCCGTCGTTGTTTACAGAACCGCCTGTAGCTAAAGATGTGAAAAGATGCAAACAAATGGGCTGCAGGCGAGAAACTCCGAGGCTCAGATGGTTCAGCATTCAGACGTCAAGTGAGGTTAAAGAACTTTTCACCAGAAAACCGAATAATGTCTCGCAGGAGTTATTTTTACCTCCTGATCTGTCACTAATGCTGGTACCTTGATGATTTCCCACAGGAACGTCTCTAAACTGCATGTTAATGGGAACTTATATGGGATATATTCCATTATATGTTAATGGGAACAGATTTTTATTATTCCGTATTCTCCTTCCTGTCACATCTACAAGCATTAGTATTGAAAGAAAAATCACTCCTAGTGGCCCAATGCAATTCAGAAGTAGATTTTCTCACCGTTAAAGCCCTTTGTTCGATTTCTACGATTCATTTCTACCTGGCAACACAGATTTTATTTACTTTTAGAGGTCTTTATTTTAAGACAAATCAAGTTTTAATACTTGTTTAAATGAGGAAAGTGGTTAAAGTTATTTAAATTAAATGTAATATTATTTTATTAATATACAAAACTGCTTAACGGTTGCTTTTAAGAAGTTACTTAGTTAAATCGAACGCAGTTTAGCAGAATTTTGATCTTGGAAATAAAGATAATATGGCGAATAAACGAGCAAACAAGCAGCAATGCTTAACCACATTCAGGTCAAGCATGTGGGCGTTAACCTGCAAAGTATTTTAAATGTTATTTGTCAACTTTTTCTTAGTGTAGATATCATGCAACATTATATGCAAAGTGCTGCATATTTAAGCAGCATTTGAAACAAAATCTGGTTCAACATACAGCATTTTTTTTTCAGCTCTTTTCGTTCAGTTTTGTTCAATTTTGACCAATTTTTGTGTGACTTCTTTTTCATTAGACTTCTGGATTATTTAAAAGTTTAATTGCAGTTAAACAGACCAGGAAATTAGTCATCACAAAGGTCCCTAATTTTGCAGTCGGCTTACTTTGCGGCTATACATTTGGAACATTTTCGTTGCCTAACAATGTTCCATGTTTGGTTCCATTTGACTTAAAGGCACTTAAAGGAGTCGGCTAAGTACATTTTGTAGTTCCAGCCTCTTGTGCAAATACGGCCATTTCTAGCCACAAATCAATGGATGACCTCCACTTCCTTTATGCACTTGATTAGCTGTTGATGGTCAATAAACTCCTTTTAATGGTGCCATCATAGGCTGGCTGATGGCTGGTGTTGTTTTGTAGATAATGTACATCGTTATATGCTCAACATGTGAGCATCATTTGAAATACAATCTGATAAATGGTTTCCAGTGACTCCTAAAGAGCAACTTTTAGCATTTTGCAGACCTTTTTATTTAATTTTGCTCTGAGTTCTTCTACTAGTGGACTTTTCTTAATTTCTGTTCAACCAACTGGGAAATTAGTCATTGGGAAGAGCCCTAATTTACTAATCAGCTTATTTTTTGGTGATACATTTGGGACAACTGGGGAAAATCAAGTAGTCCAGATGATTTCCACCAACTTTAAGTTTGACCTCAATGCGAGTGCGACAGATCCAGGTAGCTTGGTGTTGTAGATCAACAGTGCAGACGGATCATATTCCACACTCCTCACATCACACTTTCTGTTCTCCTGCCGAAAGCTCAGCTGTGACAGACAAGCACATAAACAAATAAAGAGACTAATCCTCTCTGCTCCATCTGATTTCAACAGCCCTCTTAAGCAGGATGGAAATCAAAAATTGAATTGTTAAAAAAAAAAAAAAAAAACCTGGGCTACATCACAAGCCCTCGGCCGGAGCTCGTCTCCGCCCGGAGGGGACGCGTCGACCCGGGGCTTTAATTCAATTCCCTCCCTCATTCCTCTCAGCAGCCGCTTTATTGTTGCCCCTCCGTATGATTTATAGAAGCAGCTCCTTCGCCACTCTTCCGGGCGTTAACTTCGATGGCTCGCGGCGAGGTCTCCGCAAACTAGTGTTTGAATCAATTCCTTCAACGTTGGGACTGAAAGCTGTAGAATTTGATACCCGTCATCAGCTCCTGTCACAAAACGCCCCGCCGCTAATTTGCTGGCTATTCAATTCTCCTGTTTCTGCATCTCCTTTTTATTCTGCTTTGTTTTTTATCTCTTTCGCTCTCTGATTCCGCTTCACTCGTATTTCTGCTCTCATCCTGCTCAACTTGTTATTCCGGCTCGGTGTTATACCTCGCTCCTCTCTCTCTCTCTCTTTCCTCCTCTTATTGGATGTTGTGTTTTTGCAATTGTATCATCCATCATCCTGACCTGTGTGTGTGTTGTGGAGCCCAGGTGTTTATATATATATATTTGTGTGTGTGTGTGTTTGCTGAAGTGCAGGTTCGTGTGCAGCAGGTCATTATAACTTCCAGCGGGAGTGTTGGCTGCCTCCAGTGACTGTGTGCGATTGTGATCCCCTTAAACCTTGTTAGAAACACTCATCTCCTGACTCGCACTCCGTCACTCCTCCTCTGGATGCACGAGAGCGTTTGTGCATTATTGCATCTGAGACACACTCGAGGATTACTCGCGCCAATTTACACTGAATTTTGCCGATTCAGGCAATTAGAGGGCGAAAATGCTGATCGGACGCTCGGTTTGAAAGCCGCAAAACGTTTCTAGCTGTTTAGGGGGTTTGTGGAGCTCATTTGTAAACCATCTGAGCCGTTTACATAGTGAGCGGCGTTTGATGTCTGCGTTGGTGGTGAACAAGTCTCGCAGAGATCACACATCTGTATTCAGAGCTGTTGCTTTAAAGCTTCTTTCTGCATGAACTGAGAGAGTCTTAACTTTTCCGCCGGAGTCATATTCTGGCTCCGATTGATTCGCTTCATTATTAAGTTTGACGCTGTGTTCATATTTATTTCTTTGCTGTTTGGTAAGGGTTGTTATTTTTTGCCTTAAACTACTACGAAAATAAATCCACTTGTATCTGAATCTGTTTTATCAGTTTTTCAGAGCAATTATTGATTTTCAGATTCAAGTTTCCTTATAGCTCTATTGATCTAATCCACATTTTCAGGCGAGTTCATCTCAATTTTTATCTCTATTAGTTTTTCTGGCCTCTGGATGTCGGCCAGTAATGTAGTCAGTGATCACTATGGCATAACTAATCCTGGACATGCTCGTATAATCTGACATTTTGGGGTCAGTTTGTTGTCTTGAGGGTGACTCCTGTAGCATCGCATACATTCACCATCGCTAATGCTAAGCTAGCTGCATGGATGTATAGAAAAAAGGCATGTAGGTCTGGAAGTAAAGAAAATGAATGAATCTTCTTCTTCTTTCGTCAGCCAGCAGGGGGCGACTCCTCTAGTTGCAAAAAAGAAGTCTGATTGCACAGAAATGAGTCTAGTTCTTACTTAATGTATTACCTCGGTAAACATTTTTCTCATGAGTTTATGGTCTTAAGTTTAGTTTGAACATTTTACAATACAAATATGATATTTAATTTGTAAAATCTGGCCTCATTTAGAGTGAAATACACAATAAAGTCACTCCAGCACTGAGTCAGTCAGGATAGCGGTGTAACGATGTGTATTCATGGCACTTTAGGCAGTTCAATTGAGCTTGTTTTTTGGCGTTATCTGTGTTTACATCTTAAACCTTTCACATTGTTTGACAGTTGATTGGGTAATTTTTTTGTCTATAAATATCTTGTTCAGCATTGGGTCGTACTTACAGACCCTCTAAGGAGTCGACTGTTCATTTATTTTTGTTTAAGACTGTTTCTCACTGGAAAAAATCTGCATCCTAATGCAATTACAGTTAGCGAGTTATGGATGCGCTTTGCTGACCAGGCTCGGTTGGTTCTCACTCCTTCCCTTCTCCGCCCTCTCATGCAAATACGGTCACTTCTGGCTGCAAACCAATGGGATGCGTCATTGTGGCGACCTCCGCTTCTTTTATACAGTCTATTATTAGCTGTTGATGGTCAATAAATTCCTCCCAATGGTTCCATTAAAGACTGGCTAATTGCTCGCCGCGTGTTCTCCTATTTGAGATCACCCACAAATAAAACCTGTAACAATGACTAGATGCCATTAGAACTAAGTGAGAAACAGTTGTGTTGACCTTTAAAGTTTCTGGTTGTTGCTGATTTTAGGAGGAATGCTGGTAATGCGGCATAGGATGCAGTCTTTTGTCTCTGATCTTTCCTTGTTGCCAGCATTCGTTAGCAGAGAGTCTGCGCTGCTCGTGTTGGGAGGCAATAAAGTGAAGTTTGATGACTCAGATTCAGATCCACAATGTCACCTGTTCATGTGTCAACACAGACAGACTCGTCTCTTCTTCCTGTGTGATCTACCACCGACAGGATTACAATTCATCCCCCCCAAAAAAAAAGTTTCAAGGATCGTTGTTGGGATATGAATTTAAACTAATCTCGCTGACATTCAAATGAGAATTGCGACTCATCTCACCAGCCACGTCTAAAAATAGAAATAAGCCGCGATAGGGATACAATAACTGGCAGCTGTTTCCCTGGTGCTCCCTGCCAGCCCAGTTGTAGAGCCTCCACGCTTTTCATCCAATTTCTGCTCAAATATTCCTCACCGAGGAGCTTGTTTGTGTACACCTACAGCATTTTACAGCAGTTAGTTCTTTGGGTTTTTGCACATGCGGATGCCAGTGTACAGCGACGGATTACAGTAGGACTCGGAAATCTTCTCAGGGGGGAAAAAAAACGCAAGTCATGCTTATTTTTCAGAATGTGGTTTTAAAAAATTACATAAATCAAGTGACTTATAGAAAAAAAAAATGATTCCGTGTCTGTTGTGGAGACGTGGGATTCAAGACAAATGCTTTTCAAATGCACTTACATTTTTTAGGCTAACAGAAATCATCCTTGCAGGTTTTTTTTTTTTTTTGCTAACTGCACAGAAATACAACCTGGACATTGGGCTACCGTGATTAGATTAGCTAATAAGCAACCTATTCCTCTGCGTACATGATTTTAATTCAAGAAATATTACAAAAATGTGCTTCGAGGCTTTAATAAGGGGGCTTACTGTCCATTTGCAGTAGCTGGAAATAACTCTTCTCTGCGAACACATCTGGATTTTCACTCTGTGCGGCGAAGCTTTCGTCTTTGATCAGCTGTGGAGAGCTCCGACCGCAGAAGAACCACCAAGTCCTTGAATCTGCTGCTGCCTTTCTGCCCACATGACTGTCTTCGTCCATTTGATGTAACTCTGCTGTCTGTTCAGCCACGAGAGAGAAAGTGATTCACAGTCATGACTGGATCACCACCCTTTGCAAAAAGACTGTTTGAGTTAAAGGAGTCTCACATGAGGGCTAAAGTGGCAGATTGTATGCACAATTTTCTTTTGCTTGAGTTCAGTGGAAAGCAGGTGATGATTCATGTGAAATATAAGCGTATTTGGGAAGCTTTTGCATCAAAATGTTGTTTTGTTTGTCGCATTTCTAGAAGCTCTACATGAAAGGAGGCAAGTTAGCAGGACCCACAGTCAGTAAGGAACCTGGTCTTATTCCCAGCGCTCCGTCAGGACCCTTTAGTGACAGTTTTCAACGTGCAAGGTCGTCCAATAGATCTCTAAAATTCCCTGAACATCAGAGTAGATTTCATCTGCTTGTAACCATATTTCCTCTGTTGGCGTCGTCACTGTCGCTTCTTTACATTAACCAAAACGTTTGCTTTGTAACAAGAGGTTAACGCTGCAAAAAGGTGTGTTTTAGCCCAAACCGTGATCTGTTCCTGAACTTAATCAAGTAGTTTTGGTGGCTAAACCAAAAGTGACAAAAGCAAACAGTGAGAGAAAACCAGACTTCCGTGACGAAATAAATTAAATTTAAACATAATGATCTGACAAGGATACGAGCCTCAGTCCAGCTCCTCTCCTGCCACCTCCAGACTCCTTTAAACTCTTTAAAACTGTTGTTGTATATCCACGTAGGTGGCTTAGACACCACAGGACGCCTTGTGTGTGCACAATGCCAGCATTTGACAGCCAGGGAATGAAAATAAACACGAGATTTCCATCTGAAATTTCAATCAACTTTCACTTCAGTGTCATGTTGATAAGCAGGTTTGATGAAAATCCACTATATTTGGCACACAAACATTTGTTCTCCTCAGTGTTTCTCTTCCTCTTGTGTTCTCTTCTTGTTTCCTTCCATCACTTATCTGCACAGTTTCTATTGTTTCTTTCCATCTGTGTCAAACAGCCACACCTTAAATGCATAATCAGTTTCTTTTACACACAGCGCTTTCTTTCCTCACATCTGCGCCTCTGTTTCTCTTTTCATGTGTTTATTTGCATGTTTGTGTTGCGAGGACGCTGTGTGGGTGTTTTAACGCTGCATGGATGTAACCTCGAGGTTGTTTCCTCAGTCGCTTGCGAGAAAGGCATTCCGAGACACATCCTTATGATCCTCCTATATTATATTTGTTTTGTTTTTACCTCCGATTGAGGTGCTTCTCTGCCTCGTTTTCATGTTCCTACATTGATTTTTCCGTTGCTCTTTGAAGGGTTTACTCGTAGGTATGAGAAGAGATTTTGAAAAGATAAAAGAAGAAAGAGCAAACGATGGTGAAGCTTTGCATCCTATATGTAAGACTCTTTGTTCTCTCTCATCCAGATACGTTCGCCAGCAAGGTCGCCGCCATCCAGGACCAGTACGCCGACGCCTCCATCGGCAACGTCACCGGCTCCAACGCCGTCAACGTCTTCCTGGGCATCGGCGTGGCGTGGACCATCGCCGCCATCGCCTGGCGCTCCAAGGGGAAGCCGTTCAAGGTGGATCCGGGCAGCCTGGCCTTCTCCGTCACCCTCTTCACCATCCTGGCCGTGGTGTGCGTGCTCACGCTGCTGTACCGGCGGCGGGCGTCGGTGGCCGGCGGCGAGCTGGGCGGGCCGCGGACTTGCAAGCTGATAACGTCGCTGATGTTCGTCTCGCTGTGGCTCATTTACATCCTGCTGGCTTCACTGGAGGCCTACTGCCATATACCAGGGTTTTAAATGGAGAGGGGGGACGAGTCGAGGGAGAGAGACCCACTGCCAATATGGAGAGAGAGAGAGCGAGAGAGAGAGAGGGAGGGATGGGGAGTCTTCAGGGAGGTTGGAGCAGAGGTGCATCGATGTATTCAGCTTTTCATTGGATGTTTTTTCTCCCTTTTTTTTGGAAAAAGAGCCTCGTGAAACTCTCCAATGATGTCCAAACATATTCTCAGCATCCTTTTTTTTTTTAGGCGGGAACACTTCCAGGACACACAAAATTGAAATTTTCTTGACGTAAAGAGTCACTTCTATCCTCAACAGTGGACATTACAGTTGATAAAAGGCAGAAGGGGAGATAATCAGAAGGGAAAAGCCGAGAGGAAGGTGATAGGAAAGTCGAGAAAGGAAGCAACGAAGCGACAGAGAAGAGAAGAAGAATAGACGGTCAACAACCCCTCCCGACTCCCTCTCTCGCTCCCTCCATCTTTACAATATCGTCATGGAAACAGTGGATCCTCCCATCATCACCTTTGAACTCTAACACTATCAGTGACTTATTACTTTTTCTCCCCACACACACACACACACACACACACTCACCTCCCACCAACTTGCAGGCGAGACATGAAGACTGACCACCTTTTATTTTCCTTCCTGGATACACTGTGCAAAAAAATAGTCCCTCCACCTTCCAACACATTCACACAAACCGTCCACTCCTTCCCCTCCTCCCCCCCCACAAACAGACTCTCCTCCGTCCCTCCCTCTTTTGCCTTACTTCGATCTCCCCCAGTAGGAATCGTCTTCGAGTTGTGATAATGAAAAATGCCGTAGTCGCCACCAACCGGTCCTCTTTTTTCAATTGAGCCAATCCCGAGTCCCCCGTTTTCCCTCCGTGCTATTTTTATTTTATTTTTTCTAAAACTTTTCAATGGCGTCACGTGTTGATGTTGTTACCGTGCAATTGTAAAAAAGAAAAAAAAGAAAAAACAACAACAAGAGGAAACGATATTTAACAACAAGGATGAAGCGATACGGTTGAAGAAAAGATGTTGGAGGCACGTTGTCCACCTCTTAACAGGTGGTTTTCTTGCATTGTGCACTAAGCGAAGAAGTGCACCGTTTACACTAAGGCCAAGCAGCAAGTTATGTGACGCCAAGACACAAAAAGGACCAATCAGAATGAAGGATGGTACCGGGACAGTGTTGTTGACGACAAATCAAGACTATAGACATACCCAGTGTTTCTAAATGTACATGATAATATAAGAAACTTCTATTGATGTGTGTGAGAAAACATTGATATTTCATTTATGTTGAGCTCCCCTCTTTGTAAGGAACGAGAAACATCCACACGCCTCGTTTTTTGTTTTTTGTTTTTTTTCTCCGAAACTGAGAGAAAAGTTTTTTTGGGGGGTGAAGAAGAGTCGGATGCTGTGAAGGAAACGTACGGCAGCTTTGAAATATCACGTGACTGTTTCTGCATCAGTTTCTTTGTACTCAAAAAACAAAACAAAAAAAACACACGAGTCTCTGTTATCCAAAGATTTAATAGAAGAACATGGTAGAGATCCGTTTTACTCCATAACGAGCTGTCTCCTGTACTTAAACTGGCGAATTGATAAGTGTTCACACTACATGTGCTCAATGATCTGGTGTGTTTTCTGGGTAAAACTGTGCTATTTATTTAGTTCTTGTGCAATGTTTGTTGACTCAGGCATGTGTGTGAAAGTGAAATATTACGCCATATATAAAGAATCAGCTGTTCTGTCTGTCTGAGAAGGCCCAGATTAACATTACGTGGTGTCATTACTCCCGTCCTGCCCGCAGGCTGGACTGAAACCGGACAGAAGGGACGGCATATGGCTTGTCAGTGTAGATTATTATTGAATGCATTCCCCTTGTTAACGGCGGTATAGGAAGAGAAGCTCCGCAGCCACCTCCCTCCCAACTGCCCACCGCGCTGATTGGAAACTTCAAGGAAAATCCTCCTGAGAGAAAACAATCATTTGGCTTTTTGTTGTCCCCCCCCGAAGCGACTGAAAACAACAATTTACCTGCCCACCATCCCCCTTTGTTAAATATGGACAAATTACCCGCCGCCCTCAGCCCCCCCATGTAAATGCAGGTTTCACAAAGGCAGCTCAGGAAAAAGCCTCTGATGTAGCCTCAGCAGGGTCAGCGCTGGTTAGAGGAAAAAGAAAAAGGGATTTAAGTGAATGATTTGGAGCTCTGTGGGGTAGAAATGTATTTGTTAGCCTTTCCCTCTAATGTGACGTTCTACATGCCACACCAGCTCCCTTTTGCATTCTGACAGCTAAACGGTGAAAGTGAGATATCCCAAAGTTTGACTGTAGAAAATCAGTGAAAGCAGCAGATTAAGCTTCTCAAACAGCTGTTTTCCAGCCCGGCCGTTCATCGACAGAAAGAGTTTGGCCCCCCGCCACGTTGCTCTCGGTCTGTTTCAAAGGAAAACATCTTGGCTGCAAATGTTTTAACATCGCTGTCTTGAATGAAGACACGATTGCAGAGTTTCCACCTCGTAGAGCAGCCGCCCCAGAGCTCCAGAGGGTTTTAGTGTTTTGGCCAAAAGATGCTTCAGCATCTTAGGAGGAAAAAAAAAAAAAAAGCTGAGGTCATGTCAAGTCCTCCACAAGATCCCCAAAGTCCATCATCCTTGGGAAATGTTGGCTCGTCACCAAAACAAAGCTTGGAGACGTGAGCAAATTACCACCATTAATCTACTGAACCCCAAAACCCACCAGCAAGTACAGAAGACATACTTTAGTTGGAAAATTGCCACAATTGCACCGCTTATCAGAGCCAGAAACTGTAAAAACAGAGATGATTGTTGGATAGATCGTTGCATTTGTAACTTTTGGAGGATCTTTGACTGCTCATCTGTGATTCGCTGTTTGCCGACATTTTTTTTAACCAAGTCTACGCTTAAAATCACTTCATTCTACATGTCTCATTGAAAAATGTGAAAGAAATGAAGCCCTCCAGGGGACAACTGTGACACCTGCAGGCCCTCAGTTCAACAAGATAGGAGACAAATAGGGAAGCAAATTAAAAATGTAAGGAGTCAATTATCTACAGTATTTTAAGTCACAATATTAACAACACCTGTGGACGTTCTTTTTTAAAATTTTTATAAAAGGTAATCAAAGAAATTCAACTTTTGTTTATTCTTTTTTATGATTAATGGCGTTGTAGCTGTGTCATACTGCACAAAAGACATTTTTAATTCTCTCTACTTCTAGTCATGGTTGTGCTTTTTCAATAGAAGTGCAGGACTTTATGTTGTAGTGAAAAATGAGCCCACAGTGAATAAAAATGTGACAGAGTTACACGAAGTTAGTTTTGTACCAGTAGGTGAATCTGACAGTAACGATAACTTTAAATTGCCATCATATTCAGGAAGTTTTCAGAGTTAAAAGCAACTTTTTTTTCTGATTTCTGAGTAGATCTTTGGTCATGAAATGTAAATTGCAGTGACTCAGATTATTGTAGAAGCAAATAGCAGCGATCAGGTTGAGGTAGTTTCACTGTCATCCTCATGGTGGCGCTACACAGAATCAATCATTCAGGATTCATATCTTTCATGGTGGTTTAATCAGTCGCCAAAGTGTTGGACTGAGCAGCATCCTCTCTATACGCCCCATGTCTGCCTTTTAAATCTGCCCAGAACTACAGAAGACATGACCTCGGTGTCCTCGGCTGTAGCTTGAGGCCTGAATCCTCGCTGACATTGTGTTTGAGTCATTATCACGCAGCTGAAACTCTTCCTCCGGATCCTTTTCATTACCTTCTTTACTGTAGCGCGATGTAGAGACGGAGGCCAAGAGCCGCTTGACATGACTGGCCAGGACGCCTGCTGGGGCCAAACTCTTTTTTTCCTCGATGACTTAAGCTTCCGTACCAGTTTAAGAATGAGCGAGCAGGATAACAGCGCTGCTGACGCCACAGGAACACAAGAACACTGGGCCAGATTTAGAAATGGAGGCTTTTTAAGGGTTGATAAGCCTCGCTGGAGGACGGCCGCGCGTGCATGCTTTCTAAGTGAGCGAAGAAATGCAACCATATTTTTAGTCTTTTGCCTGTTGCTTAGCGACCATCTATCTGCTAGCCGTTGTCTTCTTGACTGTCGCTGGTGTGTGCGAGGCGTCGTGTGTGTGGCATTCTCTTTTAATAATTCCCACTTTGAGCGTGCTTGCCCTCCTTCCAGTGGACGTGAAAATGTAGTTTTGTTTTTCTCTCTTTGGGGAAAAGTTCAACACGTCATGTTTTTTTCTACATGTATGTTCCTTTGTGTTGCCTCCCCCCCCCTTGTTTGCACGTGTTTCCATTGTGTCTTTGTGCCTTTGTGTGTGTCTGTGTGTGTGTGTGTGTGTGTGTGTGTGTGTGTGTGTGTGTGTGTGTGTGGGTCGGTGTTCTAATCTCCTTACGAGGGCTCGCCCTGTGTGTCCCTGGCTGAGTCCCATATGCTAGATTAATGAATTCGAATGCCAACCTGACCCACAGTTTAAAAAAAAAAAAAAAAGCCTGGAAATTGGATTCCCTGTCTAGTGTGTGTGTGTGTGTGTGTGTGTACCTGCCAGGTGTGTGTACCTGTCAAATAAGATTAGATATATAATAGATCCGGCTGTCAATCGAGGCTGGGAATAGATGCTGGCACTTTTCCTGATAAAGTGTGTGTTTAGATCAGTAGCGTTGAGGTGTCCTCTGATTGGCTGCATGTTGATTCATACACATGCAGGAAATCGATATGGAACTCAGCTACACACACACACACACACACTTTCTCTGTAAAGCTGACAGCATTGAACATCCACAGTCTTTAAATAGAACAACGTGAGAAAAATGTGACACTTCAAATTAGAAAATAACCACAGTTGTGGCCTGACAGAAGAAACTGAAATGTATTTATTTACTACATGATTTGCTGTGAGTGTGTGTGTGGGTCTGTGTGTGAGACGCAAGTAACTGAATCTGACTTTATGATGGAGAGATTATTTGTGAAAGTATTTCTATTTAGCTGGCGGCATTGTTACATCGTCCTTTTATCATTTATTTTCCTGAATGAAACCTGTTGAGCAGCTGATTTATGTGAATACCAGAAGACGTTATCAACAACATGGATAAATACAGACAAAACGGTGAATCTTAGAAGCACCAAATAATCAAAAAATTGCAAAATTCTGAATGTTACTCACCCCTCTATAGAGCATTAAAGCTCTAAAACTCAATTTTACATTTTTGTTGGGGGAAAAAAATCAAGCTCCTCCCATTTCAGAACTCTACTCTCTGATTGGCTGTCGGTTTGATTGACTGAGTGGACAGCCAATCACACGCTGCTTGACTTTCTGCTTTGTATCATTGTGAACAAAATTGACCAAAAGAAAAAGTTATAAGAATGACGTGAATGTTAAAAATGTATAATATTATAACCATGAAATATTTTGTCTGTATTTATTTATACAGCTTCATAGTTTAGTTATTCTGACACTATTTGGAGCCTCTCTGAAGGAGAAGACACAGTCAGGCAGTTGTGTGCTTTTTGGATTTATATGTAAAGAATTTGGTAATTCCTGAATAATTCGTAATGAACAAATTTGCATTCTTGTGCTTTGCCATATTTTCTAATTTGGAAACATCTTTGGTGTGTGTTTTCAGACCACTATCTATTAACC